TGCGCGTCTCAGTTATGGATAACAGTTTAGCATTCTCTCATAAATGTGTGTTTATGGTTTTGGCATTATAGGCTTACATATCACCTAGGCGCCAGCATTAGGGGTTCGCCATCCGCTCTGCTACACTAACCTGTCTAGCCGGCACTTGTATGGCAGTATCAGGGTAACAGATTTTGGAAGCTTCCCGTTGCAGAGTTGGCGAATCCGAATTCCATGATGTTGCGGAACTGCGCGGTACAGTGTGTGACCAGCTATGGCAGCGATTAACAACTTTTGTTCGTGAGGGTCTGCTTTTCCTGCAGCAACGAAATGGATCTTGCCGCAGCGGTATCTGTGAAGAAGAACTGATCACTGTTCCTGTTCGAGACTCTGATCTCTGAACCTCCTTCCTCACCCGCTAGAGCCTGCGTGCGGGAACTTGAAGCCCTCCCTCGCACAACTCACGAATCAGGAGGAATCCCAGAGCTTCAGCTGCGAAGGCCAAAGCACTGACGACGAAGAAAGGGGATCAGGCGCAGCTAGCAGTCAGGGTTGAGGGTTCAGGGCTCCAATCTAGTGAGTAAGCACTACCTTGCACCGAAGCACCAACCCCAAACCCTCAGTCTGCTGCTACGGTCTGGTCTTCACCAGAGTGGAGACTATCATGGTCAGATTGACGAGTACAGGTGTGGGGAGAGAGCGGCTTCGAGGCTGCAAAGAGCTGCCTCTCAATTTCACATGTCATGGACCAATGCGACACAAGACTCCTGCCACCTCTACACCCCAAGCCCTGCTGTAAGACTTCAATCTTCACCGGCTTCGTATAAGCCCCTGGGGCTCATAAGCCGGACGTGCTGGCCTTGCTGCAATGAATATTCTTGCTCTGAACTCTAAGCCACGAGGGCTGCAGCAGCCATCACAACCCAGACCCATGTCCCGCTAGGAGCATCAACGTCTGGCAGCGAACTGCCCAGAGGCAACTGCTGACAGACAAGGACTCTGCTTGGTCACCATGACTGTTATAGGCAGAGTTGCAACCTTTGGAACGGGGGAACTACGCGTGCGTAGCAGTAGTATGACGAGGATGACTCGGTTGTGAGGTTCCGACTCAGGGTTCAGGGTAGGCTGCAGTGTAATGAGACGCTAAATCCAGGCGGAGACCGCTCCACCGTGAGCCCCAATTTTTTTCTGACCAGCTTGTCTGTGAAGTGTCATAGCGAGTGATGTCCTGACGTTGACCCCTTCGGGGAGCGACGCGGGACAGCACCCTGACACTCTCTCACAGAAGGCTGCGGTCAGAAAGCCCTGGGATAGTAAAGCGGTTCTGCCTGCGTTTTGGTGTCACGTTGTCTTGCTGCACTAAACCCTTAACCCTAAACCCTAAACACTCCCTAAACCTTGTTTAGGGTTTAACTAGGGTTTTGCTGATGGTGCCCAGGGATTCCCGCAGCATCCACCACCCTACGCCCACTGCCCATCGCCACCATCATCCTGAAGCTGTAAACCCCAAACCCTAGAGCGTTTAGGGTGTAGGGCTAAACCCTACGCCCTATACTGTTGCAGCACAGAAAACATCAGCCAATCCTACCACTACCAATTATTCGTAGCCCGTAGCATTGCTAGAGGTCATCATCGTTGTCGTCATAGTACAGTTGCAGTACTAGCAGTGGCAGCAGTCGAAGTAGTAGTAGTAGTAGTAGTAGTAGGCACCACGGCTCGAATGAGTCCACACAGGGCTCTTGTAGCACTAGAAGGCCTATCGATCGCCGCCCATGCCATGGTTACAGCCTGTCAAGGGAAAGCTTAGCTTGAATGCACTTACAGGCTTTTTGCTGAGACGCCTGCACCAAATGCCCTGGAACTCTGACGTCAGCGCGTTTACCAGAATGAGCTATGTTATACATTGCAGACTGCCCTGCAAGTGATGAGCAACGGGGGCCTCCGCTGTTCCTTGAACAAAGGGTCGTGCCGGTCGTGCCGACAGAGCTCAGATGCCATGCTTTTATGGCGGTCAAAGGTTGATGCGCATTGTGTATGCAAACAACGGCCACAAATGATGAGCCGCCCCGGTCCCAAGTCCGGGACGAGGAGTAGTCAGTGTAGCATACTTTTGGATCAGAACAATACCTGCTCCTCGTGGTGTGAGGGTTGTGGGCGTGGTGTGAGGGTTGTGGGCTTATCCGCAGGGTCCACGGGAAACGACCTACAAGATATTCCGTGAACACTACAAGGGCTGAAGCTTTGCGGAAGAGACAGCTATGAAGGTGCGCGATCCCATCCAACTCAATTGGACAGTACACCCTGTGTGCCTCCCATGGTCCACACGTTTTTCTTGTGTGCCGCACTCCTGCCACATGGTCTTCCTCTTTCAAACTTGTGGTTCCGCACTGCAGACTGGTTCTCCAAACGGGTGTTGCCGATTCCTCGGCCACCATGTTTCTGACTGAACGGGATTGCTCTGGATGATTGCCGAATAGTGCTCCATCTTTGGAATGTGGTGGCGTGCTGCAGATTCAATCCTGCGTTTTTCCTTGCCTAAATCCGGCGGCGGAGGCATCAGCCTCGTCTTGGACCGAACGGGACCCGGACCCCTGGCGTTGATTAATGCAGGCTCACAGTTTTCAGATCGATAAGGCAGTTTGCGCGATGCCATGAGTCACTGTAGTACGTGTTTACTGTGGAGATCTACAGCTCGAAGTGCCCAGAAAGCTTTCCTCCATTGAGCTGACCTTT